CAGGAGGGCAGAGATGAGAAAGTGAGGGGCAGCGAGAGGGTTTGGGGGAGGGCCGTGTGCAGGCAGGTGGAAGGGAGAGAGGATGAGAGCAGGGAGTGAAGAGCTGCTGGATTCAACTTTTTCCCCTCAGGTCCCCCTTGTGACCCGCAAGCCTTCAAGCTGGTCTGCAGAGTAGGCATTTGGGTGCCTATTTACCCACGTGGCAGAACCAGGACTGAAATCTAGGGCTGACTGGGGACACGTGCTGCCTTGGCAATGATGAGTTTCCGAAAACTTGGGAATCTGAAAAAGGCTGCCAGAGAAAAGCAACCAGGAAAACCAGGCACCCTGCATGGTCCGCCCCTCCCCCAGCCCCAGGCCACTGGGAACTGAGCAGGGGCTGGGCCCTTCTCTGCTTCTCATTGCAGAACAAGGAGAACCTGGGCCTCAGGGAGAAGCCCTCAGCAGCCCCCTCGCTTAGGGGGAGACCCGAGACACCCACTTAGAGTGCTTCTAGCTGTGGGGAGCAGGGCTCGGGGCATTTCCCTGGAGCAAAGGCAGGGAGACCACTTGTGGCCCTTGTCTGTGGACCCTGCTGCCCAGTCTTGTCCTCTCACTGGGGCGGGGGGTGTGGGGGTGCTGGCTGGGCAGGCGTAAGCCTGGGCTCTCAAAATGTAGTGGGGAGAATGGTGGCCCCTCAAAAGATAGGTGTGCACCCTAATTTCCAAAACCTGTGAATGTGACCTTTTCCAGAAAAAGGGTCTTTGTGATGAAGTTAAGAATCTTGATGAAGTCATGCTGGGATATCCAGGTGGGCCCTAAATACAAATGACAAATGTCTTAAAAAGAGACAGAAGAGCCTGGCAGGTGTGGCTCAGTGGTTGAGCGTTGACCTATGAACCAGGAGGTCATGGTTCCATTCTCGATCAGGGCACATGCCTGGGTTGCGGGCTTGATCCCCAGTGGGGGGCGTGCAGGAGGCAACCCATCAATGATTCTCTCTCATCATTGATATTTCTCTCTCTCCCTCTCCCTTCCTCTCTGAAATCAATAAAAATATATTTTAAAAAATAGAAGAGACAGAAGGCAGACATAGACACGGGAGAAAGCCACGTGAAACCTCTTCTAGAGCCATTGGAGGTAGCGCAGCTCTGCTGACACCTTAATTTTGGGTATCTGGCTTCCACAGCTGTGAGGAAATAAATTCCTGTTGTTTTAAGCTTTCTGGTTTTTGGTAATTTATTGCAGCAGTCCGAGAAAACTCATACAAGAGGGAATGGGCTGAGCTCAGATCCCTTGCAAGCTAATTTCTAGAAAGGGGCTGGGCCTTTGCACCCACATCAGCTGGTAGTAATTGGATGTGTGCTGGGAGCGACCTTGGGTGAGGCAGCTCCTTTGGCCTTGGGCAATTCCTAGACAGCATTGGCATCCAAGCTTTACCAAAGGAGGGGAGTGAGAGCAGGCCGGGAGGGGGGCTCCGGGAGTGTACTCCACATCCACTGCAGTGGGAGTGACCTTGTGCTCTGAATATGTAGTTGTAATAGGGCTATAAAAATAAAGGCTGGGAGACAGTGCACAATTGTCTTAACCGTTGGGAGTTACCCTATGGCTGGTGGGAACATTACTACAGTCAGCCAAAGTGATAGACTAATGAAGAAATACTGATAAACCCACAATTGGAGAGGGAAAGAAATTTCCCTACTGGATTGTTTTCAATATTTTGTTAAAAAAAAGAATTTCAAACACATGCCCAGCCAGCCTAGACAGAGTAATATAACGAAAGTCTGTGGACACACCAGTCAGCTGCTATCTACACAGAGCCATCTCTCCCCGTCCACCTCCCTTTATTGTGGCCGGAGGCTCAGGACCTTCTTTGAGAGAATTGGCCTCATCGCTGCAGGCAGGAACGGCTCCCTGAGGACAGCGAGCCCAGATTCAGCCACTCGGCAGCAGGTACCCTGGACCCCAGTGGAGAAGGGGCTTGGGTAAGGGGTCTGGGGCAAGGAAGCCCCTTGCTTAGGAGGGAAGCATCTGAGCCAAGTCCTTTTTTGGCTCCTCTTAGTCCATTCTGTTAACGTTGGTGTTTCTTAATAGTATGAATGTCAGAGGCTTCATACTACTTAGTGAAACATACATCAATCAAAATGATCCATTCTGAGAAACTGTGAGGAAAAAAGATTTAAGAAAAACCAACAGAACAGAACGTCGGTGAGTTGTGGGACAATATAAAAAGGTCTGACATGTGTATTGGGGATCCCAGGAGAAAAAAACACTAATAATCTCGCTGACATAAATAAATATTACATATCTACCACTCTACCACACTACAGTCAGCCAAAGTGATAGACTAATGAAGAAATACTGATAAACCCACAATTGGAGAGGGAAAGAAATTTCCCTACTGGATTGTTTTCAATATTTTGTTAAAATCCAAGACACCACTGGTAAACAATGTCCGTTCGGGGAATGATTAGCTCCGGATCACACCGCATCTCCAGCGGTAACTGACTCTGTTGTTGATGGTGTGACTTTCTGCAGCAGTTTTAACTGGTACGGGCTTATGTTCGAGCCTACGCTAAGCCGGGCCCTAGCTGTGTGTATTTGGTTGATCTCGGTGACTGGTGAATGCAGGCATCTACTAGACCTATTCAATATAAACTTAAAATTACAGCAATTCATATAGGACACTTTTTTTGTGATATTAAACTTTTCATAAATACTTAATTTTCATTACACAAACGTGTCTGCATCAGTAAAAACAGATAAACTAATTTGTCAAATTTTTAACATGCATTCAGAAAACCTACTTTATTATATAATGAACTTTCAGCTTTAATGGACACCCCTTCGCCTGAATTAATCCATTATATGGAGGTTTTACTGTATTTTGTTATAGCTGCCTATATGGACTAAGACAATAAAAGGATAAACCTAAATTTAACCATATAAAAATTACACTCTGTTAATGGGTCATGAACTCCAATTAAAAGGTACAGATTGTCAGCATGAGGAAAAGAGCAAATATTTTGCTGTCTACAAGAGATGCAATTTAAAAATACTCAGATGAGTTGATACTAAGAGGATTCAAAATTATATACCATGCAAAAAGTAAGCATAAGAACGTGGAAATGGCTACATTAATACTAAGCAAAACAAATTTAAAGAAAAAGACTATTAAAGTAATGGGGGGAAGGCTGAAGGCAGGATTCCCAGTTGGGGATCCACTATGAAAGGTAATAATGACATATGTATTAATCAGGAACACATCGAGTTTATAAATGTATTTGTGCTTTATAACAATAAGCTTAAAATATATAAAACAAAAGGTGGAGACAACTAGACAAGAAGTCCGTAATAATATGTCTTATGACATTTTCAACCACAATAGAACACAAACTATGAAGAAAAATGTCCCCATTTGCCACAACGGGCTCTCCATTTGCAAGTTTACGCCGCCAGTTTCTCCATCTTGTTCGTACGTAGGCCATTTTGTCCATGGCGGGCCAATGGGTGTACTTGTTTTTAGAATTTCAAGACTAGGTATATCAAGCTTCATTCTCCCCCTTCCCTGCCCCCCGCCCCGTGCCAATATGTTACTGTAACATATTGCCCCATCACGTGATTTTTCTGATCCAATCAGTGGCCCTGAATCCAGACACCTAGAACTTTCTGGGAAGCTCTCGAGAGCTTAAGAGGGGAGAGCTTGGGAGACGCCGCCTCTTGGCTCCTGGCTGTCCAGGAGAGGTGAGCTCTCCGGCTCCTGAGTCGTCCACAGAGAGTAAGGCCCCCCGGGGCAGGGAAGTGGTGGGGGGGGGGGGGGGGGACTCTTGAGCTGAAACTGGGGGTGGGCCCCTGGATAAGGGGGTGAGAGAGGAGGGCTAACACGTCGGGGTACCTAGGAGCAGGAACCAGGAGCGGCCCGAGGGGGGCTGACGGCAGGATTCCCAGTAGGGCGTCCACAAGGTGGGTGCCGCTGGCCGCGAGGCGGGAAGATGGCGGGTAGATGGCGGCGCTCTGGCGTGGGGAGGAGGTAAGTGGTGTTAATGGCTAAGCGGACCGAGCGGTTGGAGGAGGGGTTGTGGAAGGAAGGCCTCCCCAGTGCTGGAGTGGGGGGCAATGACTGTGCTTTGAGGACTACAAAGTGGAGCGGCGGGGGG